AACAAGAGTCTCAACCAGTGGCTCCAATTCCCAAAACCTCGTGGGAGTTTCTCGCGAACAAACGTGACTTTAGATCTAAACAAACACAGCAAATGGCAGCGAGGCTATTGCTATGCTGGTGACGTGTGCTTTCTGCACAGAAAAAGCCAAGCAAAAGAAAAAAAAATGTGGATAAAACTATCACCAGAAATAAGGGGGCAGCAGGGTGTATACATGCTGCAATGCAAGCTTAAGATGAATACATACATTCATACATATATACATGTCTGTCAGGCACGATGTCAACAGCACGTTTCACACCAGAGAATCGGCGCCCAGCCCACACTACAGGATACTGAGTCATAAATACTGAACATGTTTATTATTTACAATTTACTATCAGGGTGGCCCCGAGTAAACTGGGACTACATCAGAGGAGTAAAGATTGGATTATGGACACCCCACACCACAGGGAAATCTGGGAAGATTATTGTTTAAGATCACCCTGATTTCGGGAGACCTTTTGCGATGCCAGGGAGGAATAAATCGTCCTCAAAATTGGCCCAATTATCCTGTAGTGTGGGAAAAAAACAAAGAAAGAACAAGGACAACAAAGAAAGACAAGGACAACAAATACATGCAACAAACATAAAACTCATTATAGCATTTAAATCCCAAAGGACAAACAAAACTCAACTTTTTTGCTTAAAAATCTTATTTTTAGGCAATTTTCAACAACGTGATGCTTAAGTGCCAATCCCCGCAATATGCAACGTGTCACTGAACATAAAATTGTATCCTTCTACAATTTTTAAACTCCAGAATGAACAACTGAACATATTTTGTGTAAGGCAAGGGTCAAAAAACAGTTGAAGCTGTTGTACACCATTGTGACAGAGCTTACATTAACATTATTTACTGTTTTAAAACATTTATATTTCATTCAAATTATTAAGTCAGTTATTTTTTAAATGTTTTTAATTACAATATGCCATTGACAGTACTGGCCAAAGGACCACCAGAGGGTGCTTCGCGGCCCAGGGGTTGAGAAACCCTGCATTAGACTACACTTGTGGAAACGCTCGGTCCTCCATGTGCGCAAAGCACTGGACATCTACTGAATGCTCTAAACTGGCCACAACTATGAGGATTATGTCAGTTTCATTCTGACTGGCTACTTAAATGTCTATGTGCCATGTATCATGTTTTTTCTGTCCGATGGGAAACAAACTTTTGCAAGCAGCTGCATGCTCTGCTCACCACAACTGACCTCTTGGAGCAATGTAGCGGCTGTATTTAACAGCATTCAAGAGTTTAAATGCGTCAATTATCTTTTCATTGATTATTATTACAAAGTGCCATTGACAGCCCACTGCGGACCACTCTGTTTTGCAAACTACCTGTCACTACACATCACAAAAAAAGAACAATCTGTGGCTGGTTATTTTGCATGTCAGTCAAACAGCCCCTCATCTCAAAGCAGCCAGTTCTTGGCCACATTAATGGACAAAAATGCACCAGACTCTTTGGCAACAGGCATGAATAAGAAATCTAGCTTGTGAGACCATGGAAAGGTGGACTGAAGACACTCACCTGCCTGCCATCCTGTCCCACATTAGTCTGTCCCCTCACCACCGTCCTAATGTTATCATCCAGACGTCTGATCAAATAAAAAAGCAATTAAAAATAAATAAATAAATAAAAACTTTCAGGACTCTGGTGTGAGAATCACTAGTATACAGTGTGTGCACATGCCGTCAGAACATTTTTTATGTGTAGGATGAAAAGCTCACCTGATTTTCAGGCGAATCTTGTTCACCACTTCGTCTATGTTTGCCAGTGACTGTTAAAAGAAAGAGGTCATGTATATTCTGTATAAACTTGCAGCAAAACAAAAACTCTTTTAAAGTTCCCTCCTATTTTTTAATGGACTCCTACTGAAGGGCAATAGCGCTGCCAAGTGGTCAAAAAAGGAAAAAAAGGATGGCAAAATGAAAAGTAAAATATGTAACATAAAAAGCATCAGAAGGGTTTTTTTTGGGCTAAGCTTAAACAAAACATGAGGGCTTAGCATAACATGGTCAATCAAATGCTTCTTGTAAAAATTATTACTGTGTTCTGCTCCAATACTTTTGATATTTTACATTTTAAGAAATTATAATATAATTTAAGTTCTACTAAAGCCTAAGGTGTGAAATACAGGGAGTCCTGGAATCTGGTATGTCCTCTTGGACACCCTGAATGTCTCAAAATCAAAATTCTGGGTGGTCTCTGACATTAAACTTATTATGACATTATGACATTACGTTAGGGAAAAATAAGACATTATGCTGTACATTATGGAAAAATAGACACTCAAATACTAATTCAGAGAAAGGTCACTGTTTAGCCTACTTCAAACACAACACGGTGAGGCATTCTTGAAATCCTTATTAATAGAGATGCAGCATTGGTCTGCCTCAGGTTGGCGCTATAGCAAACTGGTTTACCCAGTTCGTCCCTCACAATCAAGCAACTGTAATTTTGCCTGGAACACCTCTGGAAAACTTTACAATATTCCACAGCATATTTGTAAATCTGAAAACTTGCCCAATTTCCCAAGAGACTGGTGGAAAGAGTGAATTGGTACACATTTCTCAAACTGAAGACAAAAGAGAAGATGTGTAAGATCTCAATTAAGGTGTGGGAGACTGCATTACCAAACTAAAAAAGAGCATTTCCAAAGAAGGAACTGTTAAAAAAAGAAAGAAACATTTTGTTGTCATTGAAGCTAGCAACAGTGCAGCTATGCCGAGTGAGTTAGCAGCCAGCAAAGGATGGAGCAGCCAGCCAACATGGGACCACTTGAAAACCAAAGGGTGGTCAGCACTGTTGCCCATAATACAAACCTGAATGCAAAATAATAATGTTGAAAATTACCAACTTATATTCAGAGATTTACCACTAAAAAATGTAATTCACTGCATGAAACCATTATATTCAACCATTACGTTTACAACACTGACAACATACAGCAATATTTTCCATTTTCGTTCAGGATGTCATTTAGACCAATCTGAAACTGTCATTTGATCTACCTGCTCAGTAGGAAACAAAGTGTTGATGTATTCAACAGCATTGAAGTCTGGCCGATCAAGGGCATCTTGACTGGGGAAAACCTAAAATGAAGAGATAACAAGGAAAAAAAGAAGGAAAATCTAAATTTTGTTTCGCTAAACAGAATACTGTGAACGCATATAAACAAAATAACGTTGTGTGCAACCAGAGCGATCTGTGACAGAGGTGTGGTGTGTCTCGCTAACACAGCTATTACACTGTCAAACGTTAATGAGCACAAACCAAAGGGAGACTAATGGTAGCATCAGTTCACTTTTTTGTGTGGTCTTCAAACCCCCGTTCAACCTTTTTAATTTATTGTTTATTTAATAGCTACGAAATGCAGTGACAGTCATTTATGTTTAACGTTAGCAGATATGGTAGCTACCAAGCTAGATATCAGGCTAGTCACTTATCCATCAAGTAGCTGCTAACGCTACAGACAGCGGACAATAACAAACGTCCCAGGCTGGTTAACGCTGTATAACTACGCGTTTTATTTTGTTTGGGCACTTGGTCCTTTGTTAAAAATGCTGATTAATACAGTTAATGAAATGTCAATTCAACAAGTTCCGACCTAAACTGACAGACAGAAACTAACAGCTATCTTAGCCACTGACAGGCTAGTGCGCTAACGTTAACTATGCACTGCAAACCGTGAAAAAACACTAACTGCTTTCTCAAATAACAGCGAGCTACCTGTTCAATGGCCACTCGCACTTCAGGAGAAAGGTGTAAAATTGCGTCCAAATCCTCCACGAACTCAAATTCGTCCTCCTCCATCATCGTAGCAGCCGGCTGACAGTGAGCTGTGACTGTAGCTGCTCGGAACCTGCGGCTCCTTCAGCTGAGCGAGCACAACAACCAGCACAGCCATTACTGCCACCCACTGCACTGGAGTTCAGCCCAGACAGGGCCTACAAGGCACATCAGGGGTTTACATGGAAAAAAAGTTAAGAAAATACTTCTCTTTCATTGATCCTTCAACAGTTCAAAAATAACCTTTGAGACGTTTTTAGTTACGTTACAGGTTTTATATCTTATGTTCCAGGGTTCATGTCATGTAAGGCAGCATTTCTATCTCACTTTTTGTTAAATAAAAGAGTTTGGTGTAGTATGCAAACAGTGTTTCAAAACATTGCAACACTGCAAAATATGCATAGCATTCAAGTTTCAAAACCTACAGTTCACATCCCAGGTCCACACAGCATGTTTACGAAATCTGAGCTGCAAAAACATCCGATGAGCTCATGATGTGAAGAAAACCAATGCCTTTACATACGTCTGTGTATTCAGTCTACAACACTTTAGCTCCGCCCACTGAAGTTGAAGTTATAGAGTGTTTCAGCCCAGACTGCTTTGTGAATGATGAATAATACATCAAATATAATAAATCAGAACTGAGGTCATTTACATACACTGGACTGAAAGACACAGTCTGCCGGTTTAATTATGAGGATAAATGGAGGCTGGAAAATGGTCATGTAAATTGAATTATGAATAAATAAAACCCCACAAATGCCATAAGTGGACCTCAGGGAAAAAGCAGTGATGGGTAGCAATTGCTTACATGTACTTAATAACATTTGGATGGATTTGTCATTTTGTTTTAGACCAAAAATAGAACTATAGAGCCTAACAGACTTCAGTTTCTGTGCTGATAAATGCTGGATGTAATAAGAAGTTCCACAATTGTTTCATAAGGAACTCAGTACTTAAGTTTAATTTTACTCGTCTCATTATTTTCCAAAAGTAATTATACTTTTACCTGAGTATGAGTCTATAGCAGTCTACACACTTTTGTTACATAGTAGGCTTCACTGTCACCTGGGACTGTAAAACACGCTTTATCTCTCTGTCTTCCCTGTAGGCCAAATTGTTTCACAAATTGTAAATGATTGACCCCAGTTAGTTAAGACGTAACATTTGAAGCACTGTTCTCAGAGACACGCTGACTGTTAGCAGATCACTTCAGAGGGCGATGACTGACACAGAGCAGGAGAAATCCAGCAGGATGAGTCTCGACCAAAGAGAAACACTTTGTGGAAAAGTTTCAAGACAGCTCCGACACTTGAAATGGAGAGATATTTTCACATGGTGAGTGAAAAAATTCCATCCTACTACATGGGATGCATCCTTCCCTTCATTCCTCAGCTTGCTCAGGCCAATTCAAGGGCTACATTAGGTTCTTGCAAAGTATGTACTAAAAATAAATCAGTAGCGTAGAGTTAAATCCTATATGACCGGTTTTCTAGCCCCATGTTAAGCCTAAACCTACATTAATATCGACTTTCAGTAGTGAATGAACATTAGCGCTGCAATTTAGCCCAAGGTTAGCCTTAATCCATGTCCTGGAAACCAGCCTACAGAGCTGAAGCCTAATTTAAAGCTATTCAGATGTTCACTTAGCAGTGGATATTTTACTAGATATTTCTGCATGTTTGTCCTAGGCAGCTTCTGAAAACACTGTTGATGGGTCAGGGTCTGTCAGCGCTGATCTGTGGCACTGCAGTGACCTCTCAGTTCCTGGCCTCGGGATACCACCTGGATTTACCTATGCTTCAGAGTTTCATCAACTACACCCTTCTGTTCCTCACCTACACTACAGCACTGTTTTTCAGAACAGGTCACTTTCATTTCTCATCCAATATGCTGATGATATGCAGGTATATTCCAAAGTTTGGACACTCCTGGTCAATGTTTTGTTGAAATAAATTAATGCATCATCTTCAGAGAACACACTTCTGCACATTTTAATGCACAATTACTGTTTATTTGCTGAAAAAAAAAACATACTGGAAAAAAATAAACTATAAAATTGGCCTGTGCAAAATTTATGCCACATTTAGTATTTTACATTATAATCAAGTAAAGAGAATTGTGCACTAAAATTTGCAGGAACACAGCATACTTAAGTTTATTCTTTGCAGAGGATGTGGTAACTTATTTTCACTTGGAAATGTGAAAAAAATGTAATTTGATCAGGGGTATTCAAGCATTTACATACGATTGTAAGGTACTGTTCAAAGTCTGGAATCACTGTATTCAATAATATAAAACCAGTTTTGCTGCAGATGCATGTATAAACTATGTCTAATGTGATGCCACTACTCTACAACTTTACTGCTTAAAAATTTGAAAAAAGCTATAGCTAATATAAAAAATATAATTTAGATCTGCCCAGAAAGATGAACAGAGTTGTAGACCCCAAAAACTATAACTATAACATTGACAACGAACATAATTATCACCCAGAAAACCTCATATTTGAAAAGGTATGATCAAATCTAAGGCAGATAACTTCACAAAATTACTATAAACAGATCATTCCAGTATATTGTTTATCATTTAATAATGTCTTGCTGTTCCTCTTTCAGTTTACGTTCTATAAGTTATCACTCAATTATTAACATGATAAATGATTCCAAACTTTAGATCAGTAATGTATACTGTAATGAATGCCTCTTCATTTTCTTCCACAACGTAACATCCAGGATGCTTCTCTTTTAATGTAGGTGATGGAAATATTTTGCAGATATTAAAGACAAAATGGTGGAAGTATATCTTGTTGGGTTTGGCAGACGTGGAGGCAAATTATGCCGTGGTGAAAGCGTACCAGTACACCACGTTAACCAGTGTGCAGGTGAAATCCTTTCCTATACAGATGAATAAAAATAATATCACGATTCACTTACAACTTATTCCATTAGTGTGTGAAATATAAGCATTTATAAGAATTTGTCACTGTTACTGTATGACTAACACAACTACTTTACTGTGTTTCAGCTCTTGGACTGCTTTATCATCCCAGTGCTCATGATCCTGTCCTGGTTCTTCCTGAAGGCGCGCTACAAAATAATTCACTATGTGGCTGTATGTGTGTGTCTGGCTGGTGTGGGAGCCATGGTTGGAGCTGATCTCCTCGCAGGCCGGGACCAAGGGTCAAGTGAGGACACATTGTTTTCCTACTGATAAAAAGATCCAGTCATTGCTTAGTAATGTTGTTATTGTTAACACATTAATGATGTAACATTTTTCATGCAGTACAGAAAAATGTAGAATTGATGCCTAGAATTCTATATTGAAGTTAAAACTGTATCACTGATACACCATGTGAGTACATGTTCTCTAATTACATGGAATCCACTGTCAGTGATCAAAACTATGCATCTGGGTGTGTCCTATTTTTTTTACATTATTTTTAGCTCAGTGGCACTGCTTTATAAGATCACTATTTGGCATAAGGACATACTTTGCCATTTTTGTTCTAAATAAAATGTGCATTTTGTGAACCAAATCAATATGATTTATAGTCTTATATAATTTCTGTAGAATCAAGACATTTAAAACGTATATACACATGTAAAATGTGGAAAGTTGTTCCAAATCTTGACCTCAGAATTGAAAACTGTATGGAACCTGAAAATATGTGTATCAATACATGTCTAATTAAAATGCAGTGTCAGTAAACCAATTCAATTCAGTTCAGCTGTATTGTCCTTATACCAGACACCAGAATGAAAAGCTTTCTCACAGCTCTCATTGGTGCACGGTATACACAACAAAACACAAAACAAAAGAGCAAAGAAGCAGGATGGGACAGTGTACACAAATACTGATGTGATGATGAAGCCCTTGACATTCTACTTTAGTCCATTGTAACGAACTGAAATAAACATGTTCACCATACTTCATCTCTATGCCAACAGCCAGTAACATCCTGCTGGGAGACGGCCTGGTTATCCTCAGTGCCACTCTGTATGCCGTGTCCAACGTGTGTCAGGAGTACACGGTGAAGAACCGAAGCAGGGTGGAGTTTCTGGGCATGCTGGGCCTGTTTGGGACGCTGATCAGTGGCATACAGCTGTGAGACTTATTTAGGTGTATATCTGTTTGCATGTCGTAGTACATCTTTTCAGTCATTCATGAAGAAACTATTGCATCCAAGCATGTTATATAAGATAGTAGGCCTGAATATGATGTCGAATTTAGCAAACATACTTAAGCCTTTTAAACTCCAGACTTATTTAGGCTTCTTAAGGCTATGAAACCAATATAGGTGTTAAGTTGTTATAAGAGTGTGATAATTCCTTGGTATTTAAGGGGTTGACGCATCGTAATTAACTCCTTAAACTCTAAGGGACCTGTAAATGGGCCCAAAATTTTACTTACCAATTACTTGATAGTAATTAATAAATGATAAGTAAGATTAGCTAAGCAACAAGATTAATAATTGAATAATAAGCATATGGTTTAAATTATTAAATAGTTCAAATGACATGTTTTGTTGGTCTTCTATGTGAAAATAAGTACACATCATCAACACACAACACACTTTTGCACACGTTGATAAGCAATTACTGTTTATTTGCAATAAAATGTGCAATAAAATAAAATGTGCACAAAAATGCCACATTTAAGTGTGTTCTCTGTAGTGAATATGTTCACTAATTTTCACTTAGAAAATCAGCAAAACATGTAATTTGACCAGGAGTGATCAAACATTCGATGACTGTATGTTTCCTTTTTTCATTACAGTGGTGTTTTAGAGCATGTGCAGCTGGCACGTATTCAGTGGACATGGCAAATCGGTAAGAGTGCTACATCTACTGATTAAGTGTAATCGATTATTTTGGTGACATCATAAGCAAGAAACTAATCTTATAATGTCATTCTATGTTGTAAATTTGGCCTACATTCTAATGGTTTAGTTGGTTTGGTTGGTATTCTCCTCTCTTCTCAGCTCTACTACTGAGTGGGTTTGTTCTGTGCATGTACACACTCTACAGCTGCATGCCCATGGTGATGGAGGTGACCAGCGCTACAGCAGTAAACCTCTCTCTGCTAACTGCTGACCTGTTCAGTCTGTTCTGTGGCCTGTTCCTCTTCCAGTACTCAGTAAGTGCAAGATAAATCTGATACCTATAAAGAGTAATCTTTTGATGAAGGCAATTGTTTTTACTGATGGAGGGATCAATATACATTCTGTGCAGACTGAACAGTCTTAGGCGAAGGTCCCAAATCAGTGTCAGGTCATCGTGACCTGCTAACTGTTGATTACTTTGTTAATGTATAAGCTCTCTTCTGAACGGGCCATTTTATCTTCTCAAAGGACCAAATGGCACACCTTTGATCTTCTTCATAAGATGAATGAGTGGGCTCTTGAGTGGTGCAAGACAAGTGTGGCCAGACATTTTGTTTTGCGGGGGCCAAAATGCAATGTTTGTGGTGGGCCGAGACAAAAGAGTATAAAAATTAAAAACAATATACGAATAAGGTAGGTAGATTTCAAATTGAGTTTTTAACAATGAATTTGACATTTTTTGTAACTAAAACACAAAGGAAAATAAGAATTTAAATTTTGTTATGTAGTATATAGCTTAGTACATATAGTATCTGTTGTCTCATTGGATGAGGGCAATGGGGTTAGGCTAACTTTATGATGGGCCAAATTAAAAGTCTTCACGGGCCAACTTTGTGGGCCACTTTGAGAAGCCCTGGTCTAAGTGTTCACCTTATCATTAGGAGATCACAAGTTCAAACCCCAGTGATGCCACAGCCATCTGTGGATGGGAGTCCAAGAGAGCATAATTGTCCTCACCCTGGCTGGCTGGTGTTCATTTGACTGATATAACAGAATTGGCAGTTAGTGTTCTCCTCCAAGCATGTGAAGCTGTCCGATGTTGCGTTAGGGGCAGTTTGAAATTATGGGATTGATTTCACTTGACTCTAAGGAAGGAAGCAAATGCCAGACTTCACCCGCCCAGATTAGTAGAATTGTGTAATAGGAAGAGCTAATGGGTGGAACTGGACTTAAAAATTGGGGGAAAAAATTATTTGCTGTGTTTGAAAGGGTCAAAACCACAGTTCCCTGAACTGATTATACACCTGAAATCAGAAGCACTATGTAAGTTAATGATTGACTGTAAATTGAATGACTAGTAAATGATTTCACACATGAACAATACACAGGTGTGTTTGCGACAGCAGACAGAATATGGCACAGTGCATTAAGGGTATTCTCTGTCCACTAGGAGACATCATTTGTATGCTGCCTATTGCAGGGCATTGTGGGATAATCAATCAATTAATCCTTATTTATATTTAGAGAGAACATCATTTACAACACACCTAAGCATTATACAAAAACAAGGCACTTAAATGGATTTATGATAGACAAAGTATAGCAAAGAAAATAAAATAAGATCAAAAATTATTATTAAAAGGGCACATAAGACAAAAAGATTAACAAATCAGAACAATCAAATTATTAATCAAATAATATTAAGCAGATCAATAATAAAAAAAAAGTAGGGTAAGAAAAAAGGTAAAATAAAAAAACAGACAATAACAGTAATGAAACTATATCAAATAATATATCAAACAAATGACACCAATAAAAAAATATAACATTAACAATAAAAATAATAAATCACCCAAGAAAACAACTAAAAACCCTAAAACTAAATCAACTAAAAGCAGACTGAGTGATTAAAAGTTTAATATTGTAGAATGATGCCAGCGACTGGAGGTTTAGAGATTATATATTAGAGTGCAAGAGTTTACAAGATGTCTGGATATTCTCCTCTAAAAAAATTGACTCCCATACAAGAGCTCTATACCGTGAACAGGTCATAGCCATTGTGGGCTGTTTTCTGCATGTGCCAATACGAATGAACACCCTGACCTCAGTTCTGTGCCTGGTTCCTCCTCAGTTCTCAGGACTCTACGTTGTGTCCTTAGTGGTGATCACTGTGGGCTTCATCATGTTCAATGCCGTCCCTACACCAAACCCAACTCCTGAATCAGTGAGCGGAGAGGGAGGGTGTGACAACCAGGCTGCAGAGTTTGACGAGGAGGGACGAGTGGGCTCTGGAGTTGAAGTTTCCAGTGAGCATCAAGAGGAAGAGAAAGGAGAGACTGATTCCAGAGGGAGAAAACACCTATCAGAAAACAGAGAATGTGTTGTTATAAGCAGTGCTGAGCTGTAAATAACAAATGTCATAACGATTTAAACTGTGCATTAAACAACATTCACAGTGGATATTTTTGCTGATGATGACATCACCACCATCAGTAAAAACTGACCAATATCTGCATATTCACAGTAGAGGAGTTGAAGTAACAACTTTGATGCTGGCATCTTGTAAATAGTGTCTGAATGAAAATATAGTGACATAACAGATTTAGCTTTTTTTCTTCATATTAATAAGCTTTATGTTCAAAAGTGTTGGGTAACACTTGCTACATTACACTGACATAACCATGCCATGAACATGTGATGGCAGATGTTACATGCTGTCATGAGTTGTCATGTTCAGTAATATAAAAGGGTCATATTACTGGCATCGGCACTTGAGAGTTTTGAGAGATGACAATGTTGAGAGATTGGGAGAAATTGACAGATGTTATAGTTTGATGTCATAATGGCTAACTATAGTGCACTTAGCAAAAATTAACGTGTGACATAAGCTGTCATGACATCGAAATTTATGGCAATTGTCATGACTATTAACAGTGATTGTGTTACGATGCTGTTATATTACTGGATGGCTTGATTATGTCAATATTATGTAACATGGTTCAAGTAAAATGTTTCTGTGTTGTTATCCTTACAATCGCTAATTTCAATCTGAAGAAAAAACATGGAAAAATCAAACCCTCAGTTTCTTCCTTTTGAGCCTTTCCTTGGTAGATTTACTTATATGTTTCGGATCATTATCCTGTTGGAAGGTTCACTTCTTCAGCTTCAACATTTTCACAGATGGTCTTACATTCTCCTCAGGCACTCTGGGATGAAAGAGAATTCAAAGTTGACTCTGTGACTGCAAATTGGCCAGGCCCTGAGGCAGCAAAGCAGCCCCAAACCATAACATTTCCACCACCATGCTTTACAGTTGGTATGAGGTTCTTCTGATCAAATACTCTCTTAGGTTTTCACCAAACATGGCTTCTGGTACTGTGGCCAAAGAACTCTATCTTTGATTCGTCTGTCCATAGCACTTTCATCCAGAAGTTTTGCTCTTTGCTTAGATATTCATTAGCAAACTTTAGTCATGCCCTGATGTTCTTTTTAAACAGTACAGGCTTCTTCCTAACACACTTCTCATGTAGGTCAAATTTATGCAAACTTTTTTTATTGGTAGAATTATGCACTTTGACATCAACAGTGACAAAAGCTACTTGCAGATCCAGTGATGAAATTCTTTTAGCATCTTCCAGTCTACACTTGGGTTGAATGTCCTTGGGCAGCCTGACCTGGACAAGTTGACAGTGGTGTTAAATCTGCTCCACTTATAGATGATCTTCCGGACAGTGGAATGATTGAGTTCCACCATCTTCTTAAACCCCTTTCCAGACTTAAAGTCATATTCAACTTTATTTCTGAAAGCCTCAGAGAGTTTTTTTGATCTGGTATCATCTAGGCATGATGATACCACACACTCCAATAACAAAGAGCAAACCAGACCAGATATCTAAGGTTTAAAAAAGACAAGTTCCTCTGAGATTCTTTGGTGTTCTGATCATTAGCACCTGACTGAGTGCACCTGATTTCAGTTTGACTCATTTAGAGTAGTGATGTATGTAGGGGTGTACTTACTTTATCCACATCAGAAAACTGCATTACTGTTTATTTTGATTATATAAAGGATGACAAAAATGGTGATTCTAAGTGTCACTTGTTAAATTATATCATGCTAATCTATCAAGACTGTTTAAATGAAGACTCTATATCTGGATATCTAAATATGTTAAAGTCTAAACTTTTCATGGGGCGTACTCACTTCTTCACACGACTGTATAAGTACAAAGTATATCGGTTAGAATTAATAGGGCATGCTTTACCTTTTTAAAATAAGAAAGTAACTTTAATGTGGGGTATGAGCTGATACTTACACATACTTTTGTAAAATACAAATCAAGAGTTAGAAAGTACAGTTACTCAAGGATTTTCCAAACCCAGTGAATGCATTGCTTTGACATTTGGAATCAGCCATCATTAATGATAACATTTGTTTAGCACACACACTGAAGAACACACTTTTTTATGACCATTTTTAGTGTATTACTTAGTTGTGCAAAGCATTAGGGTACAGCAATAAATGTGGTTACAATCAGAGTGGACCTTGAAACCATTATTTCAGTGATATGGAGTGATATGTGGGCCTATGTGCTCCAATTGCCTTTGGTTCAACTACTAGACTGTGTTGCTATCACGTTTTTCCCCCCTAAAGTCCTGCTAATATGTCTTTACTTCTACTACTTTAATAAGTGGCTGTGTGTGATTGCGTTTGTGTGGTCAGTGTGGAAGACAGAGTGAAGAAAAGAGATTTGCAGTTGATGCATCTACGGCAGCCGAGCTCCACCGGCCTTTTACTTTTATCACCTGCTGGATATGACCCAAAATGTCATTAGAGAAACTGCTGATAGACCTTCACTTGAATGACTGCATCTAATGTAAATCATGGAAACAGGACAACTGAAAATATGAGTATTATTGTTGTTACTATTATTAGTATTATTTAAGTGCTGACAAGCGACACTATATGGATAGTGTCTCTCCAGAATGTTCTGTTTGGGTTCATAATGGCTTGTTCATGATTCCTCTGATTGTATCCATCTATCTTCCAAACATAATTATCTTTTCCACTGAACTGGTTCTTCTCGTAATATGATCTGAATCAGAAAGCTTCATTTGGTTAACTGGGCTTTAAATGAGAGGTAAAGCTTGATTTGGTAAAGAAGCCATTATTTTTTTGCCATCAAAGGTGCTCTCCAAAGTCTTCACTAGCATCAAGGCATGGATATTTTTCTGGTTTTCAAGCATTTTGTTTTGACTTCCTTCTTGAATTCTTTGTCTTTTTTAATTATCCAGCATGCATCAGCAATGATATCTGTTTCTCTGACTTTCCTGGCTCCTGCGCTACATATTGTCTGGGTTCACACACACACACACACACAGACACACACACACACACACCTTCTAAGCCGCTTCTCCTTCTGGGTCGCAGGGGGGAGCTGGAGCCTATCCCAGCGGTCATTGGGTGGAAGGCAGGATACACCCTGGGCAGGTCACCAGTCCATCGCAGGGCTGCCTGGGTTCAATGATCTTGAATAAGCTCTTCCAGTATGCTGGCCATTTGCTGATTTGCTGGTTTAATCTGGTCAGCACTTTAACAGAAACTTCTTCAGAATCTTGAAATATGTTCATTGCACAGTTGTCAATTCCTGCGACTTTGTTTTTTGGCAGTGATCTCAGGCTCTGTCTGAGTTCATCTTCTAGCACTGAAGGTTTTTCTGTGTAGCCGACATCAACAAAAGTGTCTTGGCAACTGCCGTCTTTTTGTGGGGCTCTTCTGTGTATCCCTTCTATCTTTGTTTGATTTTTGTTCAGTCACTGAAGACTTGCCCATTGACTTTTCCTGGCATACTCGAGGCTGAAATTTATTTTTCAACTTGCGTGCCTGCTTACCAATGTTGTTGTTGTACTGGTTCTTGTCCTTTCAGGCAACTCTGTGGAAACCATGGATTAGTTCCCTTAAAAGAACCATTATCCTTCTTGATTTTGGCTTCTCTTTTTGCAGTTTCTACTGAATCATCTGACACCCACTTTCATTTTTCTCTCATTTATCTTTGATGACCTCTTTGAATTCTATCCATAGCTCCTCTGGCTCTCTATCAGTTATGTCTAGCATCTGAAATCCTGATATGTTGTCCAGTTCATATTTTGGAAAGTCTGATTGCTTCTCAGCTTTGCATGGAGCTCACCTGTGAATGAATAATCCAGATATAGTCCAAACAGTCATCTATGTGTTAAAGTTTTGTTTCTTGCTGTGTAGATGTATGCCCAAGGGTATCCAAGCTCTGAGAAAGAGAAATACTCAATAGTTAACCAGACTGAGTGAGCAAACTATACTAGACAAAGAATAACCTCAGCAGGTTTGTTCATGTGAGAAAAAGGTTTGGACAGCATCCCTTTTTTCAACTGATCTGAATTCCGTAGTAAGATAAAGAAGTATAAGGATTTACACATTTACACACATCAGGGCATGACTAAAGTTTGCTAATGAATATATGACTAAGATCCAAAGTGAATTTTTTGGGTTTACAACACAGCTACTTTATTTTTTTCCCTTGCCCATTTCTTTGGCTCACTTTTCAGAGCTGGACTTTGTGTTGTTAGGGATGATCTTACGCAGACTGCTGCCGTGTTTAATGATGACCTCCAAGTTCCTCTAAAGCAGTGGTCAACAGTCCTCCTCCTGGAGTTTAATTTCCACCTGCTGGAACCTTGCACATCACTGTTGCATCTGCTCCAGCCAATCAGGGACTTCTGAAGAAGGTAATTTAGGTGGAGCTGGTGTGGCAGACAGTGGTGGGAACTAGACTCTGCAGGAAGTTAGATCTCCAGGACCATGGTTGGTGAGCAATGCTCTAAAGCATTTAGAAGAACATCAAAACTGCTCTGAAACAAGACTTCCTGTGAAAGGCTCAGTACAAAATAATGCTGCATAAAAAGGAAATGAAGAACCATCCATCAAACACAGCAGATGTCAAGCACTTGTCTTTTGTTGATGAACTTCTTTCTGTAATATGTCATATGTTCCACATGCAGTCGAATTTCTTCGGTGAAATGTGAATCCAAAATAGAGGCGGGCAACGTGACCACATTTATCAGGATACGTCACAATATCATCAGTTAAAGATGATTATGCTGCATGTTTCATTACAGAGAGAGCACAAGTGGTCCTGTTTAATTGAATTGAATGTGGTGCAGAATGAGAAACACTGAATAAAATCATTGTATTCATAATTTGTTATAGTGTTTTTCAAATGTGGCACGGCTGGCACGTTTTCCTTTGTTCCAATTTGTGAACATCAAAAAAAAACAAACAAACAAAAAAAAAACCCTAAACACTGATGCACATGTCTACTGTAGGGATCGGCAACCCAAATGTTGAGAAGAAAGATCTAACCACCTTGAGAGTCACATTTTATGTCCATTTTACCATCTTGGCTGCAAGTATGTCTCAGTAAGTGCTAATGTCTTAGTATAGGCTAAAAAGTATAATAGAAATAAAAACGCAGACTTACTTTGCTCTGCTTTATCTCAGCTATAGCCAATGTTCTCACATCTCTAGCAGGAAACTTTTCCGCAAAACTAGAATAGCTTCTTGTAAAACGTCTCTCAACGTTTGACTTTTTACGAGGCTATAGTCAGCTTCTCATTTGCCGCTTCTTATTCGAATTTTCCCGCTCCACCTTAAGTGGTACCTGAGGTGCCAGAATGTAACTGCTGCACCATTTAAGGTGGAACGGAAAATTAGAACAAGAAGCTGGCGAACGAGAAACTGACTCCATCTTTGCTACTTTTTTAGTGTTTGACAGTTTCAGTAAACCAATCCGAGTGCCTATAAACGCAAATAAGTCCATTCGTCTCCAAATTATCGATGTTCGTCCTAAATCTTATCGCCCACCCCTGCACAGAAATATAACAAAGTGACTGAAAGCAGACATATCACTGTGGACATAACATGAGGACAATATGATGGAAAAAAACATGCTTGTATATGTAACAATGTAACAAGATTTTATTTATTGAACATTTGTTCTCTTTATTTTCGCTCTTCCTCTTCATTTATAACTTTAACAAGATGGACAGTAAGATCTATGCAGCCCCAAATTTACAGGCTATTTACAATGTAAACTTTCTCCATAGGGAAAACACACTTTTTGTATATATAATATCAATGTGGAAAGAGGTCTGAAAGGTTGCCCCATAGTATACAGTACTGTACATGGTCCCCAAAAAACAATCATAAAATGAAATAAAATCAATTTTAGTCATCACTAAAACAAGAGTCATTCATCTTACATGCAAAATCAGACATGTGTTTTCTCATTGGTGAACTGTACATCCTAGTGTATGTAAACACATGGAACTTAAATCAGATATTTTGGTGAAAATAAAGCAAGTTGTTAAACTCTTCTCACATGCAAAGCATCCAAACAAATGAAGGGACTCTCTTGCTAGGCTAAGTGAATGCTTGGTTATATTGGTATTGTAAACTTGGGTCGCTCTCAGTGGGGCGTATGAGCTGTATCACAGTGCTAGAGGTTTCTTAAATCAAATCTCAAATGGACACACAGGCTGTGCTCTACCTGCAGGACTGTGGAGCGGTAAGTGTGGTTCAGTAAAGACACAGACATCTGTCCGAAGAAGTCCTGCTTTGCTAGAAACAGTGGTTTAATTGGTCCTCCACCTTTATGTTGTTCTGCGATGACCTCATACTACAGAAGTCAACTCCTATTAAGAAGAGGAGAAAAAAAAATTGCCTATGGTTTTTCCCCTCCTTCTTTTTCTGGTAGCAGTATGTTAGAAACATTAGTATCTTGAAATAATGACTTCGCATCTCACATTATAAACTTAGTATTTCCAAATAATGATTTCTTCCTCATTATATTATTGAGAATTTAATCATTTTTGCTACACGTTGACTCAGCATCTCAAAAATACTGACTTAATATCTCAAAATAATGACTTCGCAAAATATTGACTTAATATCTCAATTTTCACTTATTTTCTTGAGATTTTGCGATATTATGTTGAAATAAGTTATTCAACTTCAAGAAAGTAAGTAATTACTTTGGGATTTTGGGATATGTCCTCATTTTGACATAGTAAGTCACTTTTTCTGACTTGTA